TGTGCTTAGTCAGCAGGCCAGCACTTACGCATAACTTTATTGATATCTACTAAGCTTAGTCCTTATAGAAGACTGAATATTACTGGATCTCGGTTCGAATATTCTTGTATGTAACAAGAATACTGTGCCGATTTGTGTACCTTTAAAAATCATGACTCTATGGCCCGATCATAATCTGCGCTCAAATACCTAGTCTTCATGCTGGTGGGCAGGGCACAATTCATTTCACAAGCTGGCATCAATAGGTAGGTATGTAGATAGGTAAGAAAGAAGGTATGTACCAAATTTGGCACAAATTCAGTGTCGGCTGTGGGTGTAGCGACTCTATTCCAGCTGAATTCGGATTATAATCACCGTTACAAGCGTCTGCTATTTACCATAGTTCAAATCCAGACTAAAGATGCCTCTCGGAAATACAAAATTATCTAATTCATCAATTAAAATTTTCTTTCTTTTGCCATTTCCAGGCATACAAAATAAACACACAAATAAACCCACATAGAGATAGATAGATAGACAGATAGATGGATCATGTACGAATCTAATTTGATTCATACTTTCTTTAATAAAAATAATTAATTTATATTATTTCTGTAGTATTCATATATATATATATATATATATATATATATATATATATATATATATATATATATATGTATGTATATATATATATATATATATATATATATATATGTATATATACATATATATATATATATATGTATAGTATTTAAAATAGCTTAAATATATTCTAATTTCTGTATTTCTTTTGTTTTTCCCTACATAGAAATAGACAGATACGTACAAACACACACACACACACACATATATATATATATATATATATATATATATATATATATATATATATATATATATATATATATATATATATATATAGAATGAGAGAGAGAGAGAGAGAAAGAGAATTGGGGTAGATAGATAATATAATGTATGAATACAAAGTAGTTTGATAAAAGCCCTGTTTAATAAATGCGCTTAATTTTCGTTTTACTTACACACACAAAATATATATATATATATATATATATATATATATATATATATATATATATATATATATATATATATGACCTTTCCTTTTCTTTGTCTCTCTCCTTCTCGTTCTCTTTCACTTTCTCTCTGCATTTCTTGTTCCATTTCTTTCGTTTAAATTTCATTTATTTTGAAAATTCTTCATCCTTCCAGATTTTCTTTTTGTAAAATGTTCCTTTTTTTTTCTTTTTTTCATTGTCATTCTTTTGTCTTTCATTTGTTCTTCCTTCTATTTATTCCTTATTGCATTGCAATTCGTTTATTTCTTGTTTTTCTTCTGTCGCATTTATCTTACTTCTTCCATTCTTAATTATTCTTCCGTCTTTTCTAATTTACTTGATTTTATTTCTTATTTTTCTTCTTTTTCTTCTTATTTTTCACCTTTTTTATTCCGATCATTTCTTTTTTTTCTCTCTCTACTTCTACTTATTTTTCTTCTTCTTTTTCTTCTTCTTCTTTTTCTTCTTTTTATTTTTCACCATTTTTATTCTGATTTCTTCCTTTTCTTCGCTCTACTTCCACTCCTCTTTCTCCTTCTTCTTCTTCTTCTTCTTCATCATCTCCTCCTACTTCTTCTTCTCCTTCGTCTTCTTTTTCACATTCTTTATTTTGATTTCTTCCTTTTCTTCGCTCTTTCTTTCTTCTTTACACTCTTACTGTCTTTCTTTTCTATTATTTTTGAATCTCCTTTTTCATTTTCGTCTATTTTTCATTCATTTTTCGATTTGTTTTTCATCGTTTTTCATTCTTTTTTTTCCAGATCCATTCTCAGTTTCTCTTCCTCCTTTTCTTACGAAATCTTTTTCTTCGCTTTTGTTTGTGATGTAGTTTTTTTTTTTCTAATTTTGAAAACCCGCCTTTTTGCTTAGGAGAATGAGGGTGAATTATGTCATTGTTCTTCACTTCTCTCTCCTCCTTCCCTCACACTCATATATGTTGTGTATATATATATATATATATATATATATATATATATATATATATATATAAAGCGTATACCCATTAGTGTATATTAACCATTTTTTTCTTCCTCGTCTCTTTTCTTTTTAATTTTGCACATCTACTCTTCCTCTTTCTTTCTTTTTCCATCTAATTTACAAAGCATTACGTCATCAATCTGTACTCTCCTTTCTCCCTCTTCTCTTTCGCCTTTTCCTTCTTACTTTTCTTTCTCCTTTCTTGTCATAGTCTAAACCCCTTTCTGTTTATTTGATCCTCTCTTTCACCTCACTAGGATCTCAAACTCCGTTTTACCAAATTCCTTCCGGTTGCCCTCCTACTCCTCCTTGATTTCATAGCTCCTCCCACAGACAGCGCCCACCTCACGTTTAACTAACGCCAGCCATGCGATCACCGTCCCTCAACCCCCGCCTCTTTCCTTCGCATCACTTCCGCCGTCTTTTTCAGTTTAGCTTCGCATACATTGAAGTTTCCAATCGATAAAGCCGACGTACACGATTGATGAGTCACAAACCGAGCGTCTTTGGAGTGATTTCGTTTTCTTTTTGAAAGATCGCTTTTCAGTCATTTCTCGCAGCGAACGTGAGAAAAAAAAAAGAAAAGAAAAAAAGAAAAGCGTGATGGAAAAGAATTGGAGGAAAGAAAGAAAGAGTTAGATGAATAAAGAAATAAAAAGAAAGTAATCGAGGAGGAAGAAGAAGAAAAAAGTTAGATGTTTGGAGAGTAATAAATATGAAATGGTGTCAAATGAGAAGATAAAGAGAGATCATGAGTAATAAAAAGGAAAGGAAAGAGAATGGCATAAAGTGTCATAGAGACGAAGGAGAAGAAAACAGAAGAGATAAATAGAGAGTGGTTAGTGAGTAATAGATGAAAGTGGAGAACAGTGAATAAGCCGAAAAAAGAATGAAAAGATTGACGGAAAAGAGGAAAGAAAATAAAAAAAAAGAATAGAGAGATTAAGATTAATAAAGATGAAAGGGGAAAAGGAATAGGAAAGATGTGCAAAGAGTGGAAAAAGGGTGGGAAAGAAAGAGAGAGGGTAGACATAAAGACGAAAGATAAAGAAAAGAAAAACGAGATGAAATGAAAGAAGGAGAACATAAAGATTAATGAATAGGAAAGGGTGAAAAGAAGAGAGATTTAGGCAATGAGTGAAAAAAGATGAGGGTAGGAAAAAAAAAGAAAGGACAAAGGAGTAAATAGAAAAAAAAAAAAGAAGAAAAGAGTAATAAAGATGTATGGAGGAAAATAGAAGATAGTACGAGCAGATGAATACGTGGAAAAGAAAGAAAGAAAGATTAACAGTAATAACGTTGAAGGGCGGGAAAGAGAGAACTAAGCAATTAGTGAAAAGATAAAACGATAAAAAGTAATGAAGATGAAGAAAGGACGAAAAGAGAAGAGAGGAATAGAGTAGAATGATTGAGAGGGGGGGGATAAAAAGAAGAGAGCAAAATGAAGAGTAATAAAGAGAGGAGAGGAAATGGAAAAAAAAGAGAGTGAAGGATAAGATGTAATAAAAAGGGAAGAAAATGAAGAGGGAGATATAAACTAACAATGACAAAATGGACGATAAGAGAGGCCGGGATAGCTGGAAAAAGATGAAAGGACAGAGTAATGAAGAGAGCAATAGAAAGTAGTAGAGAGTAATAAAGGTGACGGGGGGGGGGAGAAAGAGAAGAGGGGGAGGAATAGAGGGAAAAGAAGAAGGGGGGTAGAAAAAAGAAGAAATAAAGATTAAGAATAATACAAATGAAGGAGAGGAAAAAGACAGATATAGTGAGGAATAAATAGTATTAAAGATGAAGAAAGAGAAATAAAGAGAGAGGGATAAAAACTAATAATAATGACGGAGAGGAGAGAGAGGGGCGGGGAGAGGGATATGAAAAGAATTAAAGAAGAAGAGGAAGGAAAAAGTACAGAGTGTAGGATAGTGGAAAAATGACAGAGGAAAGGAGGAATAAAAAGCAATAAATATCGAGGAGGAATGAGGGGAAAAGATGAAGAGAATGAAAAGAGAAGAGGGTTAAGGATAGAGTGAAAAGGTGAAGGAGTAGTAAAAAGCAGAGAGAAAGATTGAGTAATAAGCGAAGGAAACAAAAGAGGGAAAATAATGAGGCATACATAGTAATGGAGATGAAGAGGAGAAGAATAAAAGAAAAGAGTGTGGGAAAGTGGGACAAAAATAAAAGAACGAAAAAGAGAGTTAGAAAGCAGTAAAGAGTAGTAAAAATGAAGGGGAGCAAAAAAAGAAAAGAAGGAGAAACAGAGGGGAAAATAGGAGGGGTATAAGAAAGAAAAAGAAAAGAAAGATTAAATATAATAAACACGAATGGAGGAAAAAGAAGAGAGATGAATAAAGACAAATAAAATGACGGTGGGGAAGAAAAGCGTGGGAAAATATAAAGAGAGACAGGCCGAAAAAAACGAGAGAGAGGAATGGGGGGTAAGTTGCAATAAAGACGAGGAGAAAAAAAGAGTAATGGTCAAATATGAAGGGCGAAAAAGAGAAAAGAGAGGGATAGAGGGAAAAGAGAGGAAGGGACTGCGAAAAAAAGAGAGAATGATGAAAAGGTAGACAAGATCAAAAGAGAGAGAGGGCGCTAAAAAAGAAAAGGTTGAAAAGGAAATAAGAAAGGGGAGAGTGTGGGAAATAGGGAAAAGGATGGAGAGAAATGAAAAAAAGAGTGTGAGATAAAAAAGTGAAAAGGAAGAAGGAGAAGCTGAGGAGAAGAGAGAGAGAGTGTGTGGGATAATAAGTGAAAAGGATGAAAGAGAATGAAAAAGAGAGTGGAATAAGGAGTGAAAATCCTGAAGAGAAAGAAAAAAGAAAGAGGGAGGAGAAGAAGAAGTGAAATAGCTAAAGAAGGTAAGATATCAGGAGAAAAGAGAGAAAATAGAAAAAGAAAGAAAGAAAAGAAAGAAAGAAGGAAAACTGATTCTGAATCATCATATGAAAAATAAAACAATGGAAGGAAAGACGGGACTGGAATAAAAGAGAAAGTAAAACACGAAGGAAGAAAAGAAGAAAGGATGGAAGGAAACAAAGGGAAAGAGAAAAAAAAAGCTAGACGAAAAGGAAGAAAGTGAAGAATAATATAGTGAGATGTTTAAAGAGTGAAAAAAAGAAGAGAAAGATGGATAAAGAATGAAAGAGAATTAGAATAAAAAAGGAGAGTGTAAATGAGTGAAAACGAAGAAAGAGGATAGTGACATAGAGAGTGAAATTATAAAGGAAAAAAACGTGAAAAGAAGAAAGAAAAAGAAGAAAGAATGAAAAGTATGAAGGAAAAAAAAGAGAGATAGTTAAAAAGTGAACGGCATGAAGAGGAAGAAAAACATTTTTTTAAAAAAGAGCAAATGTTGAAAGGACGAAAAAGAAACAAGTAGAAAATCAACGTATAGTGCATAAAATAAATGGAGAATATAAAAATAAGGATAAAAATAAATAAATAAATAGATAAATAAATAAATAAAAACACTTCGAAAAGAAAAAGGAAAAAAAAAGGCAGAAATAAAAATATGTAACTGAGTTTTTTTTAAAAAAAATGGAATAAAGTAGTCGTGGAAGAAAACTGATTTTACTAAAATGCTAGGAAACTATTTTCTTTGCTGTTAAAATAAAAATAAAATTCAAAAACCAAAAGCGATGAAGAAAAATTGTTTTAGCAAATAAAAAAAAATATATCAAGGAACGGGTTAGAGAAGAAGAAAGAGGTGCAGCAGAACAAGGAAGAAACTAAAAGAAAAAGAATGAAAAATACTTAAATTTTATTTTTATTTTATTTTTTTCTAAACAAAATGAGAAAGAAAACAAAAAAAGGCGGGATATCAAACAAGGAAGAATCTGAAAGCATGTTGTAAGTGCGAATAAAATAAACAGAAGCAGTCAAGTCAAAATGTAAGTGGAGAAAGGAAGAAGAAAAACGGAAATATTGAATGATAAATAATGTAGTTGATAAAAAAAAAAAGAAGGAACTATCGGAATGATAGAAAAATAACAATGATCGAACGATAACTAAATAATAAAAGGAAGGATGAAAGAAAGAAAAAAGAAATAACACGAATGTCATAGCTCTGTGATAAAAGAATGAAGATTGAATGAAAATGAAATTAACTGAAGAATCTGATACGTTGGTGTAAAGCATTTGCAAAAAAGCAGACAGGAAAAAGAATGAAGACTTGAAATTATTTATAATGGAAAAATGAAAGAATTAGTTTAGCGAGAAATAAAAAATAAATAAGAAGAAAGGAGAAAAAACAAAACCGGAAAAAAAGGAAAAGACTTGAAATTTTAAAAAAGAAAGAAAGGAAGAAAATTGATTACGAAAAAATAGGAAAGGAAAAAGAACAAGACTTGAAAAAACGACAGGGTAAGAAAAAGAAGGACAAGGAATGAGATTTGAAAGAAAGAAAGAAAGAACAAATGAGAAGAAAGAAAAATGATTTTGAACATAAAAAAAATAGAATAAAAAAGTAAAGGAAGGAATGAAAGAATTGAAAAAAGAGAAAGTAAAACACCAACGAAAAAAGAAAGAAAGAAAGAAAGAAAGAAAGAAAGAAAGAAAAAAAAAGAAAGAAAGAAAGAAAAGAAAAGAATGAATGAATGAAAGAAAGAAAGAAAGAAAGAAAGAAAGAAAGAATGGATGAAAGAAAGAAAGAAAGAATGATAGATAGATAGATAGATAGATAGATAGATAGATAGATAGATAGAAAGAAAACTTATTCTGCATCATACGAAATATAGGAACATTGGAAGGAAGGACAAGACTTGAATAAAAAAGAAAGTAAAACACGAAGGAAGGAAAGAAAGAAAGAAAGAAAGAAAGAAAGAAAGAAAGAAAGAAAGAACAAACGAGAAGAAAGAAAAATGATTTTGCGTGATATAAAAAATAGAATAAAAGTAAGGAAGGAATGAGAAGACTTGAATAAAAGTGAGAAAGTAAAACACCAACGAAAGAAAGAAAGAAAGAAAGAAAGAAAGAAAGGAAGAAAGAACAAAAAGAAAGAAAGAAAGAAAAAAAAAGAATGAATGAATGAAAGAAAGAAAGAAAGAAAAGAAAGAAAAGAAAAGAAAAGAAAGAAAAAAGAAAGAAAAAGGATGGATGAAAGAAAGAAAAGAAAAGAATGATAGATAGATAGATAGATAGATAGATAGATAGATAGATAGATAGAAAGAAAACTTATTCTGTATCATATGAAATATAGGAACATTGGAAGGAAGGACAAGACTTGAATAAAAAAGAAAGTAAAACACGAAGGAAGGAAGGAAAGAAAGAAAGAAAGAAAGAAAGAAAGAAGGAAAGAAAGAATGAAGAAAAGAAAGAAAATTGGTTATACGTGATATGAAAAAGTAGGAAGAAAGATAAAGGATTTTGAATAAAAGAAAGAAGGAAAAGAAGAAGGACAACACATGAAATTCTAAGAAACAAAGAAATATGAAATAAAATAGAAAGAAAGAATTATGGGAATGTTCTACTAGAAATGGTGCAAACAATTGTCTTTCAACCATCCAGACTAACGGTAGATGCAAAAGCCAAAATCTTTCCAAGAAAACAAAACCCATCCAGGAAGTAAAGAATTGATCCAGGATTCCGTTGTCATAATCAAGTAGAGATCGATCTTACCTGGACATAAATTTTGCCGTTTCCACAGACCAAGAACAAAATCCGAAAAAATGTACACGTGAAATATGTATCTCAATCTTACCAAAGAACAGAGGAAGTTATAAAATAAAGACACTGTCGTTCTAGTCTTCATAATATTTTTCTATTGTTTTGTTATTATCTTTTAATCGTTTTCCTCGGAGCAAGGCGATAAAGCCACTAAGACTTTTGGCGTTACTGAGAATGAACGAAAATGCGATAACACTACTGATAGAAAGCACAATAAAAGAACAGAATTCAAAAAGAGAGCTCCTGATTGACGCCGGATTTAAAATCTTGAATATTGTAGTTTACAAGAAAGCAAGAAGCCGGAAGAGCGTTCCACAGACGAGAAGTGAAAGAATAAATCATTATAATATAACTTACGGTTATATCTAGTAATTTCAACTGCAAAATGATGAGACCAAACTTCCAATCTAGTACTTCGTTTAAATGCATGCGGTCAAGGTATCAGAAATAAAAGCTCGACGAAACGATTGCCATGAAAATATTTGTAGAAAAGTTGCGGTGGTGGGAAAGATGGTTGGGAAGAGAACTTTTCTTCAGCATTTCATATTATATTTTCACTCATTTTTCTTCTTCTTTTTTTTTTTTTTTTTTTCAACTTCTTTTCTGTTGTCATAGAAAAATAGATCGTTATTCTTCAGCCGGCTAGGCAGAGGGGAGTTATTTTCCCTCTTCATTTTTCCTTCTGATCATTTTGTATAAATGATGCAATAAAACATAGAAGAAATAGAATGAAAGAAATATTTCTTACAAAGTAATATCGAAAAGGCGAGTCATTTTTTTTTTTGATATTGTTGTGTTTATTTCAAATATTTGTTTCAAATGATGTAATTTTGCCTGTCAGTTTATCTGTCTGACTGTTTGCCTGTCCCCTCTTTCTGTCGCTATCTCTCTCTCTCTCTCTCTCTCTCTACCTACCTATCTGTATATATCTATCTATCAATCTCTCCCTCCCTCCCTCTCTCTCTCTCTCTCTCTCTCTCTCTCCCATATATATATATATATATATATATATATATATATATATGGTGGACTCTCCTGCCGTATGAGGGTCAAGCAAACTGACAGCCAAAAACACCAGCACATATGACTTGATTATAGTGGTAAAGGCTTTGTGTAAACCTAACCACACTTTTTGAAAGGCCGAATACAGAGACCTGGTGCAATAAGTGCCACAAGGTCCCCAAACGACCCTCCGCAGGTTTTGAATCCAGAGTTGTCCTTCTAGACGAGTTGCCATCCAGGGCTATAGAACCCAGTCAGTTCTGCTATTTACCCATAGCTGGAGGGAGGAAAAGAGTATTAATACCTTTCCAAAGGGTATTACCTCGTTAGTGAATGTAATGGATTCTTCTGAAATTATATATATATATATATATATATATATACACACACACACACACACACACACACACACACACACACACACATATATATATATATATATATATATATATATAATAATGAATACGGAATCCTTAAAATAAATTCGGTTAGGTTATAATTTATTTCGTTGACCGCAAATGTACATCTCTTCAGGCCATTTGAGATTGACATTTGAGGTCAACGAAATAAATTTTAACCTGACTAAATGGATTTCTAAGGATTCTGTATATATTCTTATAATGTTCTCTTTTTACATTCGGCTCTCTTTGAATTTATAACCTCCTTCAAATTATCCCTACTAAACATCAAGTGATATCATATATATATATATATATATATATATATATATATATATAAGGAAGAGGTTTTAGTAGTTTCAATAACAGAAAAGTGTGTATAATAAAAAGAAGAGAAAAACCGCAAACGTCTTTGGTTGTAATCTAGATTTTTCTTAAAGATATATGATGCTTTATTTTCCAATATTTTGCTATACGGGTTTCCGGTCTCGCGACATTCATCAGGCAAAGAGTGGATATTTCCACATATTATTAAGAGGAATTAATTTCTCTTATGTTTTTCGATGTTAAATATTCTCGATATTAGACATTCTTTTTTTGTGTGTGTCAGTGACTCAAATAGCTTTCTTGTACTGCCAGTGAAAGCATTCTGCGTGAAGGGTAATAAAACAATTAAGACTGGTCTGAGAAAGAGTGAGAAAGATATCTATATTCTTATCTTTTAACAACCCCTGTATATATATATATATATATATATATATATATACTGTCTTATTATAAGGAATTAGTATACACATATGTACACATAAAGATACACACACATACACACAAACACACATACATACACACACTTCCTATGTTGTGTAGGGTTTCTCGTTCGTGCACGTAAGCAGTTTTGTTTTTGTCAATATGTGTGTATATATATATATACCAATGCTCGCAAGTACATACGTATTCCCTCTCTATACACACGTACTGTCTTATTATAAGGTATTAGTATACACATACATACAGACACATATACATCCCTATATACATACATACTCACACACACACTTCCTATGTTGTGTAGATTTTGCGCGCGTGCCTGTGAGCAGTCTATTGTTTTTGCCAATATGTGTATCCATATTCGTACTCCACATATACATGCGTGAGAGTGTATGCACGTGCATGTGATTGGTTTGACCACTGTATTTGGCTATTATGTGTGCATGTTGTGTGCTTTTGCGTGTGGGGTTATGATCTATTTAGTGCTGGTTTAAATTTGTTTATGAAGTTTTTTTCTTGTATTTGTAGGTAAGAATAATTGTCTGTTTGATATATTGGCATGATTTTAAATGCACCCTGGTTACATTTGAAGATGTATTGTAATACAAAGAGTTTTCTGTTGTCTGGTAATTTTATGTTGCTTTTGTGTAGGGAGACCCTGTTGTTTAGATTTGGGCTGATACCTATATATGTTTTCTTGCATTTTGTGCATTTGAGTACATAAATTACATTTTTCGAGTTGCAGTCTAAATCTTTATTCATTATGAATGTCGTTTTGGGGTTTTCATTTTAGAAGTTTTATTATGAATGTCGTCTTGGGTTTTTCGTTTTAGGAGTTTCCTTCTATAATGATGTTACAAACCCCACATATTTTTCTGTTGCATTTTGTGACTCCCTGTATTGTGTGTTGGTTAAATTTAGATGAGGTTAGTATATATTTTAGGTTTTTAGATTGGCGTTTGCTTTTAATTATTTTGGTTGTTTTTAGTATATTTTTCAGCTTGTGTTTGTGCGTATGTGCATGTACGTGTGTATGTGTATGTGTACATATGTGTATACCAATTCCTTATAATAAGACAGTATATATATATATGGAGAGGGAATATACGTATGCGTACGCATGCTGTCAAAAACACAAAAAAAGGAAATAGATCCAAGACCACAGAGGGATCATTAAAAGATAAGAATATAGATATCTTTCTCCCCCATTCTCGAACCAGTCTTAATTGTTTTATTACGCTTCATGCAGTATTCTTTCACTGTCAGTTCAATAAAGACATTTGGGTCACTAACACACAATAAAGAGAATGTCTAATATCGAGAATATTTAACATCGAGAAACATAAGAAAAATTAATTCCTTTTAATAATATGTGGAAATATCCACTTGTTGCCTGATGAAGGTCGCGAGACCGGAAACCCGTGTAGCAAAATATTGGAAAATAAAGCATAGCATATATTTTTAAAAAAAAATTTACATTACAAGCAAAGACGTTTGCGGTTTCTCTCTTTTTTTATATATATATATATATATATATATATATATATATATATATATATATATATATGTGTGTGTGTGTGTGTGTGTGTGTGTGTGTGTGTGTGTGTAATAAAAAAAGAGAGTAACCGCAAGCGTCTTTATATATCAAAATTTGTGTATTTAGGCAGCAAATTCTCTTGTAGGCATGTCTAACTGAATAAATTACAGACATTATGTCTGCTAATTTTTAACAAAATCCGTTCATACTTACAAATAACCTTCTGTGTATTGATGTTAAAAGATGAGAGAAATGCGCTATAGCTGTTTAAATTTCTTTTATTTTTATTTGCCAAGTACTTTCGATCTTTTTCCAAGATCATCTTCAGGGGTGCAAGTAGTACAAAACTATATGTTGTCCATTAGAACAAGTATTTATACAAAGTTGTCCGTTGTTATCTATTACTGTGATTTTTTTCAAAATTTAATTTTTTTTTTTAAATACATAACGGTTGACAATGTGCTGAGCGTTCATTAGAATGTGAAAAATTATCCATTATGGAATTTGTTTCATGTTATAATGTCATGGTCATGCGCGCATTAGATATATATAATATATATATATATATATATATATATATATATATATATATATATCGTTTTCGTTCGCACCTCCCGTTCCCGTGTTTGTATTTTTTTTAAAGCAGGGCGGGTGAGTCACTAGCAAGCAGTGGGGTTATAAAATGTATGTGAGAAAAAAGAATGAAAAATACTTAAATTTCCTTTTACTTTTTTCTAAACAAAAGGAAAAAGAAAGCACATTTTGGATGTCTAGTTGTTTTTATTTTGTTTTGTGTTTTGACGGTTTATCAACCCTTTGAGTGTTATTTAAAGCCAAAACATATTTCAGATTTTACGAGTTTGCTTACCACACCCGGTGTTTACAAGTGGTCCACCAGTCTAAGTTTGGGCTCGATGCTGCTGCGGAATATCAAGCTAAAAATAATACGAAAGTATTTTGCATGAAGGCGTACGTTCCCCGTAAATGAACGACCCGTTTTTAGCCATCTTGATGTTTAAGTGCATGCAAATGACAGTGATAATTAAACAGAGTAGTAAAGAGGGAATTTTTTTTTAATAAAAAAGGAGACAAAAAACA